AAGGGCCTGAAAAATGCTTGGCGCAGATTACTGTGGCTACAACAACGTTCTCTCCTGGAAATACCATCCTCAGTGACCTCCACAAAGCACTAGCAAGGTTTCGCAGTGGACTACTTCACCATCCTTGTCAAAGCCACCTGCCACCAGCACTGATAGATATAAGAACAAGTGATCGGGACCCTTCGTGCCCGGTAAACCCGTGGTACAGTTTCCAAATGGAAAGTTCGAACGCTCGTTGGCTCGTGCTTGCCTTCTTAAAGAAACCATCGACATGGGACCAGGTTTGTTCCTCTACGTTTTTTGCGATTTTTCCACCAAGTTTGATGAAAAACGATTGTGCTGTTTCGGCTGCCCAGAACAGACACACTCACAGACACACGGCTATTCCTATAGTATATGAAACAATCATGGTCGTGGTTGTAATAATCATGGTCGGTTGTTATAATCATGGTTTTGTTGTTATAATCATGGTCGTGGTTGTTATAATCATAGTCGTGGTTCTTATATTCATAGTCATGGTTGTTATAATCACGGTCGTGGTTGTTATAATCATGGTCGTGGTTGTTATGATTATAGTTGTGGTTGTTATAATCATGGTCGTGGTTGTTATAATCATAGTCGTGGTTGTTATAATCGTGGTCGTGGGTGTTATAATCATGGTCGTGGTCGTTATGATTATAGTCGGTTGTTATAATCATGGTCGAGGTGTTATAATCATGGTCGTGGTTGTTATAATCATGGTCGTGGTTATAATCATGGTCGTGGTTATAATCATGGTCGTGGTTAATAATCATGTTCGTGGGTGTTATAACTGGTGGTCGGTGTTATAATCATGGTCGTGGTTAATAATCATAGTCGTGGTTGTTATAATCATGGTCGTGTGTTATAATCATGGTCGTGGTCGTTATGATTATAGTCGGTTGTTATAATCATGGTCGTTATAATCATGGTCGTGGTTGTTATAATCATGGTCGGTTGTTATAATCATGGTCTTGGTTGTTAAAATCATGGTCGTGGTTGTTTTAATCATAGTCGTGGTTATAATCTGGTGGTCGCTTGTTATAATCATGGTCTTGGTTGTTATAATCATGGTCGTGCTTGTTACAATCTTGGTCGTGGTTATAATCATGGTCGCGTTATAATCATGGTCGTGGTTGTTATAATCATGGTCGTGGTCGTTTTGATTATAGTCGTGGTTATAACTGCGGTCGTTGTTATAATCATGGTCTGGTTGTTAAAATCATGGTCGTGGTTGTTTTAATCTTAGTCTTGGTTATTATAATCATAGTCGTGGTTATAATCATGGTCGGTTGTTATAATCATGGTCTTGGTTGTTATAATCATGGTCGTGGTTGTTACAATCTTGGTCGGTTATAATCATGGTCGTGGTTATAATCATGGTCGTGGTTATTATAATCATGGTCGGGTCGTTATGAGTATAGTCGGTTGTTATAATTATGGTCGTGGTTGTTATACATGGTGGTTGGTTATAATCATGGTCGTGGTTGTTTTAATCATAGTCGTAATTATAATCATAGTCGGTTATGATCACGGTCGAGGGTGTTATAATCATGGTCGTGGTTGTTATAATCATGGTCGTGGTTATAATCATGGTCGTGGTTGTTATAATCATGGTCTTGGTTGTTATAATCATGGTCGTGGTTGTCAACTCGGTCGTGGTTATAATCATGGTCGAGGTGTTATAATCATGGTCGTGGTTGTTATAATCATGGTCTTGGTTGTTATAATCATGGTCGTGGTTGTTACAATCTTGGTCGTGGTTATAATCATGGTCGTGGTTATAATCATGGTCGTGGTTGTTTTAATCATGGTCGTGGTCGTTATGATAATAGTCGTGGTTGTTATAATCATGGTCGTGGTTGTTATAATCATGGTCGGCTGTTTTAATCATAGTCGTGGTATATAATTATAATGCAAGCGTGATCATATCGAGGGTGTTATAATCATGGTCGTGGTTGTTATAATCATTGTCGTGGTTATAATCATGGTCGTGGTTGTTATAATGATGGTCGGTTGTTATGATTATAGTCGTGGTTTTATGATCATGGTCGTGGTTCTTATAATCATAGTTGTGGTTGTTATAATCATGGTCGTGGTCGTTATGATTATAGTCGGGGATCATGGTCGTGGTTCTTATAATCATAGTTGTGGTGTTATAATTATGGTCGCGCGGTTGTTATAATCATAGTCGTGGTTGTTATAATCATGTTCGTGGTTGTTATAATCATGGTCGGTTCTTATAATCATGGTCGTGGTTATATGATTATAGTCGGTTATTATGATCATGGTCTCTTATAATCATAGTTGTGGTTGTTATAATTATGGTCGCGGTGTTATAATCATGGTCGTGGTTGTTATAATAATGTTCGTGGTGTTATAATCATGGTCGGTGTTATAATCATGGCGTGGTTGTTATAATCGCTTATAATGTGGGTGTTATAATCATGGTCGTGTTCATGATTATAGTCGTTGTTATAATCATGGATCGTGGTTGTTATAATCATGGTCGTGGTGTTATAATCATGTTAGTGGGTGTTATAACTGGGCGGTCGTGGGTGTTATAATCATGCGGGTTGTTATAATCATGGTCGTGGTTGTTATAATGGCGGTCGTGGTTCTTATAATCATAGTCGTGGTGTTATAATCATGGTCGGGTGTTATAATCATGGTCGTGGTCGTTATGATTATAGTCGGTTATTATGATCATGGTCGGTTCTTATAATCATAGTTGTGGTTGTTATAATTATTTGCGCGTTGTCATAATCATAGTTGGTTGTTATAATCATGGTTGTGGGTGTTATAATCATGGTCGGGTATTATAATCATGGTCGTGTCTTTATGATTATAGTCGTGGTTGAAATCACGCGCTTGTTATAATCATGGTCGTGGTTGTTATAATCATGTTAGTGGGTGTTATAATCATGGTCGGGTATTATAATCATGGTCGTGGTTATAATTATGGTCGTGGTTATAATCATGGTCGGGAGTTACAATCATGGTCGTGGTCTTTATGATTATAGTCGTGGTTGTTATAATCATGGTCGGTGGTTGTTATAATCATGGTCGTGGATGTTATAATCATGGTTGTGGTCTTTATGATTATAGTCGTGGTTGTTATAATCATTGTCGTGGTACTTATAATCATGGTGGTCGGTTGTTATAATCATGGTCGGTTGTTATAATCATGGTCGGTTGTTATAATCATAGTCGCGTTGTTATAATCATAGTCGTGGTTGTTATAATCATGTTCGTGGTTGTTATAATCATGGTCGTGGTTCTTATAATCATGGTCGTGGTTGTTATGATTATAGTCGTGGTTATTATGCGGTCGGTTCTTATAATCATAGTTGTGGTTGTTATAATTATGGTCGCGGTTGTTATAATCATGGTCGGGTTGTTATAATAATGTTCGTGGTGTTATAATCATGGTCGGTGTTATAATCATGTGTGGTTGTTATAATCATGGTCGGTTGTTATAATCATGGTCGTGTTATAATCATGGTCGTGGTCTTTATGATTATAGTCGTGGTTGTTATAATCGCGGATCGTGGTTGTTATAACTGGCGGGGTTGTTATAATGTGTTAGTGGGTGTTATAATCATGGTCGGGTGTATAATCATGGTCGTGGTTGTTATAATCATGGTCGTGGTTGTTATAATCATGGTCGGGTGTTATAATCATGGTCGTGGTCTTTATGATTATAGTCGTGGTTGTTATAATCATGGATCGTGGTTGTTATAATCATGGTCGTGGTTGTTATAATCTGTTAGTGGGGTTATAATCATGGTCGTGGGTGTTATAATCATGGTCGTGTATAATCATGGTCGTGGTTGTTATAAACATGGTCGTGGTTCTTATAATCATAGTCGTGGTTGTTATAATTGGCGGTCGGGTTATAATCATGGTCGTGGTCGTTATGATTATAGTCGTGGTTATTATGATGTTACGAACCCCTCCACCCCGCACTACGAACCACGCCATCTAT